TATTAATAGCCTAAGAATGTCAAAGTGGAAGAAGAAATTTGATAGTAAATAACTGTTTAAACTGTCTTCAGCTTCCAGACTTGACAGCAAGCAAAAATGAACTGTAGACATCGCAGTTCTCGGTGCGTGCTCATAGCTTGATTACCTGCAGAACCAACGTAACTAGAACATTTGGATTGTTCTTTTACTAATGACCCCTAGACTGGACCCCTCTTTGGCTCTTAGCACTGCCTGGGGGAGATGCTGCCGTTGGTACTAGGGAAGTCTGATGAGACCGTGGTAACTCCTTCCCCCTCCTCCTCACACCCCGCTGCCCCTGGAGCATGGGAATGTAGCCCAGTAACCTGTTGCTGGTAATTAGCGCTAGATGGGGGGCTGTGTGCCAGGGGAGAGATGTAGGATGATTGAACTACAGTGAGAATGCTTTTAAGCTGTGCCGACCTCCTGAACTGGGCAGCGGTATATTCCTGTCCCAGGCTGGGCTGTCAGGCTCTGGGGATTCCTGCCCCATACCAGGGCGTTCCTGGCACGGAGAAATGCTGTTGTGACAACTTTGCCAAACAGGCAAGGATTATTGCTTTTAATCGCTTCCTGATTCAGGAAGAGTTATCCTGGTTTTCTGCCTGGCCTGCTAAGCTCTCTCCAGGACCAGCCAAGTAGTAGTTGTGCGGAGGAGGAACCCAACAAGCGCGTGGCGATGGCTACCCTGCTTCCCGTGCCCGGCGGTTTGGAGGATGGCGGAGGCAGTATGGGCTCTGGCAGGTTTGGGTGAGCTCAGTCAGAAGGGAGAGGTGTGGGGTTAATGCTGTGAAAGCAACAGGTAGGACTGACGGGCAGAGCTGACTGTTGAGCTGCCCTGTCAGAGCAGACTCTTCCGTCCGGACGTGCAGCTACGCTCGGCAGTGCTGCCCTGGTAGGTGAAGAACAGCGTTCTGAATTTGGGGAGTATCTGTTCAGCTCGTGGCACGATGTGTGATAAAGATGTGGGTTTTGTTACCCATCAGCGTCCCAAGGGGTTGGGACGCTCTTGCTCAACAGAGCTTTTAGCACCCTGAATCAAGCCAGTAATGATGTGGTGGGCACTTGAGATCTGGGTTTTTTTTTTGGTTTTAGGTGGTGGTGGTGTTTGTTGGGTCTATTGTTTTGTTCTGGTTTTGCCGGTGGTTGTTCTTTGGGTTGGTTTTTGTCTTGGTGGAGAGGTTGCATGTGTAGTCTTCGTCGGTTTGAGTTTCGGCCCCGGCGCCAAAGGCAGCGTTTCTCTGCCGAAGGAAGGTACTGGGATCAGTAAGGCCGTACTGAAATGCGGCGGAGGAGTCGGCCCTCAGTACCTCAGCGGGTTAACCTGGAGGGAGTAGAGTTCTTGGTGTTGGCTGCCGGGTGGATCGTTTTGGCAGCCTGGCAAGAGACTGTTCCCTCTGTCTGTCTCCCTTCAGCCGCAGGGCTGGGTGAGGCTGAGCATTGGCTTGGGCCAGTTTAACAGCTTCCTGTTACAAGGGGGCCAGAGAGGGAGAGAGGTCGTGTGTGTGTGTCCCCTTCCCGGCTTCCTTTTCTGCTCTATTTACTTTGCTCTGTCTCGCTTTCAGGTTAAGGGTATGGGATTAAACTAATTCAGCTTTAAGTGGCAGAAAATTGCATCTATCGAAGCTGTATTTTGACAAGCTGGGAAGCTGAGTATCCTTACTGAGAGCTGGCTGAGTTCAGAGCAGGGCTAAGGGCATGAGGAGTTGGGGTGGAGGAGGGAAGAGTGAGGCTCCCCCCTTGGGTACGTTGAAGAGAAGCATTTTTGTGTTGGGGCCATGGTGAATTACAGTTCCTGAGATGGGAGATGGCAGCAGTGTTTGGATTTTTGCTCTTGTGGGTGTGGATTTGTTTTTTAACCAGAATAGCTATAAAAACTGTAATGTCTTCTGTCCTTGAGACTGATCTTTACTAGGTGTGTTCTTTCTCTCACAGGTGATACGCGAAGATTTGGGAATTGGAATTGTAGATTAAACGTGCACAAATCGAGCCAAAGGCTTTTGTTTTTGGTTCAGTATGGGTCCTGATCCTTCTCCTCAGATATCCTGCTGTATTGCAAAACTTGATTTGAGAAAGTCTTAAAAGTAGAATGTCTATAAATTGCATGTGTTTTGTGTGAAGAATGCATTGCCTGGAAAATGTCCACTGTACTTCCACTGGACCCGGAGCTACTTTTCACCATCCGAAACACGGTAATGGTACTGCGTTTCTAAAGGAGCATCTCCTTCTGAACTCAGGAGAACGCAAATGTTTTGCGTTTCCGTCGTTTGTCAGTCCAGTGCTGAAGTCTGAAACTTTGGAGCCGGTTACTTCTACTGTAAACGGTACCTGCTGAGAAGGGTTGGAACTGGCTGGTCTGTTGGCAGCTCTTCGCAATTGACTGTCTTTCATGGTAGCCTTGCACTAACTTGGTTGCATTGTTTGGATTATGCACTGGGCTGTGTCTTTCCCATCGTGTATGTACAAGTGTCAGAACCTGTCAAGCTCCTTGTTGTTGTAACTTAATGGCTAAAAGCTGAAATTCCCTAATAAATTATACAGACCTCTTCAAAAGCAGCGTCTGAGAAACTCAAGGGTCTTGTTTTCTTTGCCACGCTTCTACAAGTGGGTGCGAGGCGCTCAGCACTTGCACAGTGGAAAACAAGCCTCGCTCTGTGCTGGGGTGGCTGAGGGGGAGATCCTTCTGCCTGTTGAGGCTTTCCCTGTGTAACTGACACCTGGGTGCGGTGGGTTAAGCTTGGCGGGCATGTAGATGCCTACCCAGCTGCTCTCAATCCCTCAGTGGTGCCAGGGAAGAAAATCATAGAATCACCGAATGGTTTGGGTTGGAAGGGACCTTATAGACCATCTAGTTCCAACCCCCCTGCCATGGGCAGGGACACCTTCCACTAGGTCAGGTTGCTCAAAGCCTCATCCAGCCTGGCCTTGAACACTTCCAGGGATGGGGCATCCACAGCTTCTCTGGGAAACCTGTGCCAGTGCCTCACCACCCTCTCCGTGAAAAATTCCTTCCTGGTATCTAACTTCACTCCTTTACTCTTGATTGTTCTACCTCTCCCTTCCCTGTGAGTGGTGGCAAGGGTTGTGGAAGGAAGGTCCTCACCCTCTTCTGCTCCATCACAGGCTCCTTCTGCACTTCCTACTCCAGTGGGGCCTGGCTGTGCCCTGGGCTGGTCTGCTGGAGCCAGCTGTGTCTGGCATGGAGCAGCTCTGGCCTCAGAGCCACACCACAGCTGGGTCCCAACCTTGCCGCCTAAACCCGACTCACTCGGGAGTGTGGGAACTGCAGGAATAGTTGGCTCACCTTCCCTCCTAACACCTGAGTGCTGCAGAAGCGTACGGCACATTTGGTGAGGAGTCTGAATGTTTCCATCAATGCATGGGGCCCTGAAAGTAATGGGATGTGCCAATTTTTCCAATGTATAGGAGTAGGTGACTGAAGTGCCTGTGATGAAATCATAAGACTACTTCTTGATCATTAATTTTTTTTTTTTTTTTTTTTTACTTACAGGACAAGCCTGGGGATTGGGAATTTACATGTGTCAGGACAAAAATTGTGAAAAGGTGAAACAGCTGGGCTTTTGCTGTGGTATCATAGCAGTAACCTACTTTATTTTTTGGCGAGGCTTATATTTGTTCAGTTCTGCAGTCACGAGGTGGATTGCAGTGAAGTAAGCAGTAATCAAAGCAGCAGTAATCGTTTTTCTGAGGGAGCCTGTTCAGTTGATAGTACTATAGCTTGTAAGTTCCAAACATAAGCCTAAAACCTATATAATTTGTCTGTGTAACCATGTACGGTACATGGAAGACAGTCAGACTGTACTTCAGCTTGAGAGGTAAAGCCTTCGGGTGCAAGTTGGGGTTAACTTGCTAACGGTGACTTACAGCAAATGTCTTGGCTCTCAGAAGGAATGTCTGGAATTGGAACAGACCTTAAATAAATGCTACTTTAGTCGGCCTAATACATCTTAACTCTGAGCAGCCGTGTGAGTCTAACCCCTAATGACTGGAGAGCACTTCTCGTAGGGCTTCTTACCAAAAAATTAGGCTGCAGGAGGTGAGAGATCGATGGGGTTTTCAAGCCAAGCAATTTAGCAACTTAAATTACATGGAAAGAGAAAGCCAAAACAGCCCTGACCTTGCATTATTGATCTTGCACTTCATAAAAATTTGAGAAGCAGATGGGAATTTAAAACAGCTTTCATTTATCAAGCAGCATTAAATTAGAACAAGCTTGCTTTTCACATTGTTTTCAGTCTGAGGGCTTGAATAACAGCAGCTATTCTACCATCAGCTTAAAATAATGCTTTGGCAGACTCCTTCCCCTTTCCCCAATACCAGGCGACACCTGAACGGCACTCTGGAAGGAGGAGGTTATGTTAATTTTGGTAGCCACAGTACAACTGCCTATGCGAGCTTTGACATGAGAACAGGCTCGTGGATTTTTATGGAAGAAATGGGAGCATCTTTCCTTACTGGAATGTTCTTCCAACTGTGAAACAGGTGTGGTGCTCCAACTACTGGTATGACAAGGCCAGCAGCCTGAATTCAGTGATTTGAAGAGAGAGGGTACCGCTCTGGGCCTGCAGCGCCCAACGCTCCATTTCTGCCATGTAAAGATAAGCCGTTGGCTTTTTCTGGACACCAGGACAGACTTCCCCTTGCTCATGGGAAACAGCAGGCATCCTCAGAAGTTGTATCCAGCTTCTCCTAGAAGGTTTTAAACAGTACAGAAGGAGTAAGGAGGAACTGAAGTTACTTACCTTGCTGCAAGTTGGCTTCAGTTACTCACAAATGGGTTTGGACAGGAAGACAGCGGGTGCCTGACTGACACTTAAATCCGCTGTCAAGGGGCAACTACCATTTACATCCTCTGGAACTGGAGCCTGTAGTTCAGGCTAATCGTACGGCTTATGGAGTTTCACCCAAAAACAAAACAGCCTAAGTGTGGGGCCTTAACACATTCCGCAAACGTGTGTACCAGAAAAAGCATTATTTATTGTTTAAACACATAAAATGCTATTTATAGCCCACTACATCATTAATCCAGTGATTTACGTTTACAATATACAATGAACAGGCACAGAATGCTGGCAGGGTGGGGTTTTTGCCAGTGACGCAGTGGGTTTATTTTGATGTTTTTGTCTCTGATGGATTTTCCCCCGTGTCCAGTGTCTTCAGCAACCTGAAGAGGCCGGCTGCTTCTCGTATCCGACTGAACTCAATACAAAACGCCTGCACTTCTATAAACAAGTCCTGTACGTTAATGATTTTGTTTCTGATCAGAGACTGAAGAAACACACAAACAAGACGTACCAGGCGGTTCTGAAACAGAAGAGAGATGGTTTCATAATCCAAAGAAGTTAAAAGGACGGTTGGCCCTTGGCAGTATGACTCCGGTATTTCGGGAGCGATGGAGCTCCGACACTAATCCTGTTCCCAAGCTTTGTACGTGCTGCCCCCGTTTTTCTACCTCCCATACTGCTGCTGTATTTAAAAAACAGACTCCTCTGCCTCATAGTCCTGTGCTTCTGGATACCAGAGCCTGCTCACGATTAATCCTCTGCACAAATGAAGCTCCAGACCTACACACGCACTACATTCCTTCGTCAGGTAACCTCTGAAGTCAGAGAGAAGGGATCATAGCTCAGGGTGATGTCATCACTAAGGTCTTGCTTAGCCTTCTGTAACACCATAAAGAAAAACAAACAAGCTCCACATCTCAGAATTCTCCAGTCACCACGTGATCAAGGCACTCCAGCTGGGAAGTGACAGCAGCAGAACTGATCCCACACTTGCCTTCCAGGAAGCGCTCTGTCCCTGAGTGAGCGCATGACCCTCTTCCTCTGCCTTAGGACAGCAGCAGGGACACCTAATGCAAGAACACGCTTCAGAGCTCATGGCTGCGAGCCATGGTTTCCCACCTCAACCAGTAAAAAGATGGGATCTCAGAAGTGCTCCTAGGTAGCACCTTGCAGAGCACGCTGGGAGTACGGGAAGCGGAGACCTAGGAACTGGCACCCACAGTTTGTTGTACGCAGATGCAGGCACTAGCCATCTGCTTTACACGGGGCGCGTTATTCCCCAGGGACAAAAGCAGATTCTACTTCGGTGATAAAGCGGTCTCAGTTCGCTTAGTGAGAAAGAGCCGAACTCCAACATTTCTCCAAAAGCAACGCAGTCCATGATCATCAGGCAGAACTGAGGGGACTTGGCAGCTAAAACACTGCTTTGGACACTCTGAAGATAAGCTGTCGGGTACTGTGACAGGCACTGAGCTCACTACTGCAGAATCTGCTACCCCTACCGAGAGAATTCAGAAGCCAAGGAAGCGCTTTCCGTTGCTGCCAGAGGCATCACGCTTTCTCTGCAACCCAAATGCATTGCAAGAGTAACCTGAATGATTGGGGAACGCTGAACTTGGAACAAACGTACAAACGCAGGATGCTGGCTGACTCCCAACCTCCGAGAACCTTGCCTCTCTCACTTCCAAAACAGGAGTGATTTTGTACTGTGCTTCTCAAACACGGCATCTCGGGGATCAGGGGCTGGATATCACAGGCTTCGCACGCTACTCGGGGATCGGCATGTGCTCCCCGACGCCCTGTTCTTTTCCGTCCCCAGCGTGCGGGCAGTACAGCCGCCGAACGCTCTCGGCAGCCCCTCCAAGCAGCGTCCCAGCCTGCAGGCCTGTTCTCAGCCACAGCCCAGCTCTGCTGGCATTTTCCTATGCCGCTACCAAACGCGCCAGGCACAGCTATTCAGCAGCTCACAGGTCAAGTCACCCACGTGTATCCGGCAGAGTCCCTGAGCAGAGAAGCAGCAGCAGCCACCAAAAGATAACAAATGGTTAGTCATCATGTGGAAGGGTGTTGAGAACAAGATTGGGGGGGGAGGCGTTGTCGCTATCTAAAACCACACTGCACCCATATCCTGTGCACTGCACGCAGTTTTCATGTCTGCAGCTTAAGGACGTAACAGAGTGAGAGAAGGACCCCAAAAAAGCTTAAGGGAAAGGAACAGCTGCCTTGTTGCAGGAGACTGAAGAGGTTGCAGTCCTGAGAGGAAAAAAATCGGAGGCGGGACTTGGTCAAGACTCACAAAGCCTGCACGTGGAACTGGTTTCCACCCGTGAAGTGTCCAAGAGAACATCCAGGAGAACAAGATCTACCGGGCACTCGGTGAAACCAGCAGATTGGTTTAGGATAGAAGGAAGTGCCTCGCGCAGCACGTAGGCAACCCTGCGTGCCAGAGGTGTGGAAACCTCTCCAGGGGGTAAAGATCCTTGAAGTCGCTACAGCTTGCATCCTGATACTGAGGAACGACAGGCTTGGGAAGCAGAGAGTATGGAGTTAGGAAGATAGAAAAGGGGTTTAGGTCTTTGAGGAGATCTGCAAGCTGTTGTAGGTTGGTAATAGTCCTGGTGGGAGGGCAAGACCTACATGTGTGTTGTCAACCTCACCTCAAAGGTCTGGAAGTGGTGGGCACACTCGTGCAGAAAAGAAACGCAAAGCTTAAAACTAAGCAGAGGGCAAACAACCAACAGTGGGGGTGAAGAGGAGGCGCGCCGCGTGGCAGAGAAACCACTGCATCGAAGGATCTGAGCCACACAGAAAACTGCAGCTCTGCCAGGGAGAAGTATTACTTCTAGAGAAAAACAGGCAACAGTAATTACTTGTGAAGTCTTGCAAAAAGGTGAGGAAGCATCTGTAAAACACTAGAAGGAGCTGCATAGTGTGTTGGGAAAAAAAGATTTGTGCCTTGGAAACAAAGCAGCAGTAAGACAAGGATAACTTAACACCGTCAGCCATACCAAGTCCTGACACGTACTGCACAGAGCAATACGGGGGATCCTCTTTCCCAACTCATCTACTGACGTACTCACCTGCATATATTTGTCTTTAATCTGTTCACAGGTGGAGATGCAGTTGGAGATATAAAGATGAATAAACTCAGGCGGGAGATCAACTGCAGTAGTAAGCCTGTTTGAATTAAAAACATCCAGTGGTTTATGAAGCTGTAAATCTAGCGATTCCGCTGCAAAACAGAGGAGTTAGGCCTGTGGTACTAGTTCATCCCCAGTCGTGTCAGATGGAGTGGATTTCTGACAGCTTCTACAGACACATTTCTAAGCGTTTTAAATGTCTTCATTAAGAGCCCAATACCTTTTTTTTTAAACTCTTAACACAGCACAGAAGCCAAGTTCAACTGGTTTCTAGTACATAACACACATACAGACATCAGCTGTGTATGACACAAATGAGCACTGGAACAGGTTGCCCAGAGAAGCTGTGGATGCCCCATCCCTGGAAGTGTTCAAGGCCAGGCTGGATGGGAGTTTGGGCAACCTGGTCTAGTGGAAGGTGTCCCTGCCCATGGCAGGGGGGTTGGAACTAGATGGTCTTTAAGGTCCCTCCCAACCCAAACCGTTCTATGAGTCAGTGATACTAGTTTCCCATCTATGATGGAGCCCCCACGCGGAGAGCCAAGATTCCTCTACAATAAGCACTGCAGCACAGTTTTGCTTATTCAGATTTGCATTCCAGGTACTGCATCCAGACGCTGAACTCCTTCCTTACGCACACAGCAGGAACAACTCTGTCATTGCATCGAAAGATCAGTTCCATTAGTTCATTCAGATAAAAATTTTATTCCTAGGAACCGAAACAAGATGAGTATCCGGAGCTGAAATGCCAGAGACCCCGACTAGATGATAACGTTAACTAGAGATTAACGATGCACGATAATCTGGGAGGCTTCTCACTACAAGAGAACTACTGCATCAAAGAATGGTGTTAAGTGCATTTTAAGGGTTAACACCAATTTGTGGTTCAATACTGGCTACTAAAGTATTTGAGCTGCTGCTGTTTCTTACCTGAAAAAGCCACAGAGCTCAAGTTTCAGACAGCAACATACGCTGCGCTGACAGTTATTTTGCAATGTAAGGAGAGCTGTCCCTATGGTAGTTCTGCTGCGGGAGAACCAGCAAGCCTGACTGGTAGTGGAGCTACCCCGGACAGGAGTAAAAGCTCTTTCCTTAGCACTGCTTCTCCACCTCGTGATCATCAGCCCAGCTTCCGAGCAGTAACTGCTGTCAGCCTGCACCAGCAGGGAGGGCTTTGGTTCACAAGTGAAGCGTTTCTTTCCCCAAATGGTACTTAAGGTACAGGTCAACTCTGCTGCAAAGGGGCTGCTGAACAAGGCTGATTTGGGGGTTCCCATTCAGTAACTGCCCAGAAACGGAAGAAAGTAAGTGGAGGAGATGCCCTTTGGTAGTTTGGGGGGGGAATAGCTGTCCGAGCAGTTTTCCCATTGAAGGGGCTAGCGTTCTGCTCATAAAGCAGATTCTACCTGTATGCAGAGGTTATTCCCGAGGAACAGAGGGCATGAACGTAAAGCTGGATGGCCACATAACAATACCACTGTAACCTCTGTGACATCAACCTCTGGTTGAGGATCCTCAGGATAACTGCCCTTCATCCCACCGTAGCCCTCTATATTCCACAGAGACATGCCTCAAGAAGGAGCAAAATGAACATTTCCAGATGTCCTAATAAGACACAACTGGTACCTCAGGTGGAAGAGAAGGCAGAAGCTGGTGGCCAGGCTGGGTTTTAGATACCCAAAAAGAACGTGAACTCTTCATCCAAAAGAGCTGGATTGTGAGCCACTGGGGGGAGCAACAGCACCATTCACATCCAGTAACTGGCCATCTCTGCAAACCAGTGGCTAAACGTAAGGGCTTCCTGGGGCACAGAACGTGTATTTGCTAGTGAAATTCATTTGTCAACCAGGAACCTGATGTTTGAATAAAACGTTAGGCCTAGACTGCAGCGACACGCTGCCTTAGCGCTATCTAAAGTAGGTGTCACTTGAGCTGAACGTATCCAGCAGTTCGATCAAATTAGGTTTAGTAATGACCAGCTCCAACTGGAGTTATTCACAACACAGTATCCATTTCCCCACTCTTTAGAGAGTGGAAACACTTTGCTAATACTGGAGTAACACAGTGTTTTCTTTGAACAGGCCTCTCCACACTTGGTGCAGGGACTGAAAGGTTCACTAGCGTAGCACCTGTGCAAGACACCTACCTTTAACCATACCTAATGTGGTAAAACACTGTATGCTGCAAATATTAATTAATATGCAGTATATTAAATAAAAATGGAAAAGTGTATAAAATTCTAAATAATTCCTACAAAATTAAATAATAAGCCTTCATTACGCCTTCATCATCACATCTTCCTGCTGGGCAGCTGTGGGGTTTTTCCCTGTTAAGCAATTTTGCTGCTGGTAGTAAGAAGCCGTTAACATTCCAGTTCTAGTTCAAAAATCACACAGCTCAAAAAAAAAGGAACTTCAGAACTTGGCAGCTTTCTCTGAACACGTCCGAGAGGTTCAATTCCTTATTACCAACCTACAGCTAATTTCACAAATCTAATCTGGACTAAAATTAGGAGTTTTTCTCTTTAACCACTGGCACCACTGATAAGAAACTACACAGAAAGCAAGTAAAGCCTTTATGAAAGGAAGACTTGGACAGTCCAGTAGTCCCTAGAAAGCTACAAATCCATAGCACCCTTCCTCTGCAGGATTAACCAGAGAATACGAAGTCTGAAAAGAGTATTAAAACCCCAAAATCACAAACAGCATAGAGAAATTGAAAAGGAAATGATATTTTGATGCTCTCTTCCTCCCCTGTAATCTGACTAGTCATGTCTTCAATTCCTATTCCTTTTGGTAGCCTTTGGACTGCACCCCCATGCAGCCCTGTGGCCAGCCTCACAATCACTTGGAAAACTGTTCAGTTGTTGATTTTACAACCTTAAGGAAAACTTCTTAGATCCAAGACAGTACTCACCTGTTTACAACTTCCATGGAATGTAAGGACATGTCCATGTTGACCAAAACAGAAAAATACTCTGTTATCTGACTAGACTGCATCAGTTTCAGTAACATTTCTATAGCTACTAAAGGATTGTTTTCAACCAGGTCTGGCAGTTTGGCAGGAGTGAGACCAATATGGTAAACAAGCTTGGGGTCCTTTTCCAGTTCTCCAAGGAGCTGTAAAGAAAAGAAACACCCCAAACTGAGTCTTTTTAACTGTTCACATTACTGCTTGAGGAAACAGCTATTAATACATCTGAGCCATGGGAGAATGGGAACACCCCCCCATCCCCTCTTAGATTTAGGCATCTCTGTTGACAGACACTGGAGATAAGCATTTTAAAATACATGTAAAGGTAACAGTGCCCATAAAGCCTTCAATGATGCATTTAACAGTCTTTCATCAGTGAGTGGCAAGGAAAGGAGAAAAAAAAACCCAAGCAACCACCAGCATGAAAAGTTTCAGAGCCGCCTTTAGTTTCCTTGAGGCAGAATGAAACCTCAATTTCAAGTTCATTGTTGTCCAAAAAATTTATGCAAATAAAGGATATTTTCTAGTGACTATCAAAAAAGCCCACTGAAATCAGGCGTAATACTATGGAATTGAGGGGGAAAAAATAATCTGTGTTGGCATTTCTGAAATAATTACTTATCAAAAGCTCCCACAGGAGCACAAACAACTTTGTTACGACTTTTCCATGCAGAAAAATATTGGTGCCACCTGTTGATCAACTGTAACCATGTCCAGTCAGTGCTACGAAGTTCAGAGATTTTCTCCTCATTCAGACAAGCCCAAGTCAAAACTCTCAGGTTTTGACAATTTAAAGTAGTTGGAGTTGCCTGAATCCAAACACAGCTCAATTAAAGCAATCCAAGTTTTCTTAAACACACGAGTTAGTGTGTTAGGATCATTTTAGACAGAAAGGTGCGTGAAAGCCAACCGTATCCTGGGCTGTATCCAGAGAAGTGTGGCCAGCAGGTCAAGGGAGGGGATTCTCCCCCTCTAATCTGCTCTCGTGAGACCCCACCTGCAGTGCTGTGTCCAGCTGTGGAGCCCTCAACATCAGAAGGATACAGACTGGTTGGAGCGAGTCCAGAGGAGGCCACGAAGATGCTCAGAGGGCTGGAGCACCTCTGCTGTGGGGACAGGCTGAGAGAGTTGGGCTTGTTCAGCCTGGAGAAGAGAAGGCTCCAGGGAGACCTTATAGCCCCTTCCAGTACCTGAAGGGGCTACAAGGGAGCTGGGGGGGACTTTTTACAAGGGCCTGTAGTGACAGGACAAGGGGTAACGGGGTTAAATTGAAAGTGGGGAGGCTTAGATTAGATATCAGGAAGAAGTTCTTCACAGAGAGGGTGGTGAGGCACTGGAACAGGTTGCCCAGAGAAGCTGTGGATGCCCCATCCCTGGAAGTGTTCAAGGCCAGGCTGGATGAGGCTTGGAGCAACCTGGTCTAGTGGAAGGTGTCCCTGCCCATGGCAGGGGGGTTGAAACTGGATGGTTGTTAAGGTCCCTTCCAACCCAAACCAGTCTGTGATTCTATGATACTTACCTGTGTTTGCTGTGGGGAAGTCAAGGGGCTTTTGAAAGCTTTTGCCATGATCCTTTTTATCTCGACTCCGGTGCTGTTCTTAACGCACATTGACTTATCCCACTGGATTGTGTGATCTGGCTCTATTGGGTTTAACCACGCCAACTCATCCTCACATATGTGGAGCGGAGGCGGCGGTCGAATGAACTCGGGTCGAAAGTGACCTGAAAAGGTAAGAACGTGAAACCTTTTTTTTTTTTTTAAGCTTCAGGTAATTCAGTTTCACATGAGTAGAGAAAGAAAAGCCCCAAAGCCCCCATTTCTTTAAGCTGCTGTAACACTGAGAACAGTGCTACGCTCTTATTTGCCTCCTAGACATTTATTTCTGCTTTTTAGTCACACGTCAGCCTGGTTTTAACTCTTGATTCAGATCAGTCAGTTACTGATTCTATGGTCTGTTTTCCTTCCACAGTAACGGCTCCTTGAGGAGTTACAGTCTGTGCAAATTTCAGTGTAGGGGACTAAGATCTGAGGGGCATCAAACCCAGTGTTTTAGCCAACGGGTAACAGCCTGAAGACAGGCTCCAGGTTTTTAAAAGCCTGGAAACGTGAACACTATGGAGTCTGATCTGGAGACAGCCTGTCACACTTCTGCTCTGTTTCATTCATCTTCATTTCCATTTCATACCTGGAAAATACTTCTGATTTACATTAAGTTTCATCTGGAGAAGCAGAACGACATAGCATGTCATGAATTACAGAAACAAGGAGGTGAAAATGCACATACTTTCTATAGGAGGTTTTGGTCCACTCACTAATGCTTCCGTGATCTGGGAGGCAACGGAGCTGTCAAAACCGGAGTTGGAAGAATCTGGGTCAGGATCGCTGAGAATGCTGGGGAAGCTGGCCTTGCTTTGTGTTGGCAACTCAGACTGACGCTCTGAAAGAAGGCCAGTCCATAATATTAAAGCATGAAATTGAAACAGAGATGCCTGGATTGCTAAAAGCAGAGAGAAACAACCAGCTTTAGAGAAGAACTAGCTTAAAAAGCCCCAGATAAACATCAACATGAAACGTAGCACTGTGTCAGGCAGCTAGTACTCGGAGTGCCAGCTGACGGCCGAGGGAGAGGGACACGCAGCAAGGACAACGAAGAAATAGAAATTAATCTGAAACGTAGTCTTGACTTCAGAAAAGGTAAGTAACTGATGTAAGGTGCTTCTAAAAGCACATTAGTAGGTTCACACAGCACTCCTGAAAGATTTCACATGCTATATCTAATTTTGCAATCACTTCTCAGAAAGGCTGAGAGAGTTGGGCTTGTTCAGCCTGGAGAAGAGAAGGCTCCGGGGAGACCTTACAGCCCCTTCCAGTACCTGAAGGGGCTCCAAGGAAGCTGGGGGGGACTTTTTACAAGGGCCTGTAGTGACAGGACCAGGGGTAACAGGGTTAAATTGAAAGTGGGGAGGGTTAGATTGGATATTGGGAAGAGGTTCTTCCCAGAGAGGATGGTGAGGCACTGGAACAGGTTGCCCAGAGAAGCTGTGGATGTCCCATCCCTGGAAGTGCTCAAGGCCAGGCTGGATGAGGTTTTGAGCAACCCGGTCTAGTGGAAGGTGTCCCTGCCCATGGCAGGGGGGTTGGAGCTGGATGGTGTTTAAGGTCCCCTCCAAACCAAGCCATTCTGTGATTCTGTGATCTTGAACTAAGACATTTAAATTTAAAAAAAAAAAGAATCTGAAAACAGTCACTTAGGTTCCCTTATGTGGCTATTTTTTTTTTTTTTTTTTCTTTTTACAGGTAAAAAGCAGCTTCCTTCAGTTCTTAAAGGAAAGCTCTACAGTGTGTTACAAACCTAACTTTAATACAGGCCAGTTACTCTTAGGTCAAACAAGGGTTAGTAGAGAGTGTCAGGAGCCCCATCCCTGCAACGAGGAGAAAGCGACACGGTAACACACGATATCAACAAAGCCAAGTTACAGGGAGGGTCGGAAGCCTGAATGAACATTCTGTAATGTTCCAAAGGCAGAAGAGAACAAAGCCAATATTAAAACTCATTGCAAAGATGCTGTACTCCAACACTCTACTTTTGAGAGGAAAAGAGCAAAACAAAACCCAAACAAACCAACCAGCTGGAAAAGAAACCCACCCCCAGAAAAACCACCATACAGTTACAAGTGAATTGTGACAATGGGCTCAAGCACAGAAGACAAGCCAAGTATTTTTCCTTCCCTTTACAAAAAAAGGATTGGTGTAAACGCACTGATTGAAAAAAATTTAACGCTTTCTAAATCATTCAAGTTGATGTTGCAGGTATATTCTAAAGCCAGTCAAAATCATCCTGTTCTAAGTAGCCCTAAATTCATCTCAGGGACCACAGCTTTGAAGGGCCACCAATTCTTAGAGCTGTTACGTTCTATGAAACGTGGGGTGAAAGGGTGTAAGTGCAACCCCTTAAACACTGTATCGAAGCACAATAATACAAGTATTTAAGCCATCAGCGTCTTCTGTTTTATAAAAAAGGCCGAGTTAAAATGTATGGCCTAGAGTACCCACCCATACAACCTGGGCTTTGAGGTCCTGTATGTGTTTTATTTCTTCAGGAGAACAAACTGTTCCAAAGGCAAACACAGTGCCAAAGGGAAAACAAATGAAATTCCAGGCTTCTTTAAGGCATCACGTGTGTCTTATGCTAAAAATCATGATTTACCTGAAGAATCACAAAGTCTGAATTCACAAGAGTATTCTAGAAAATACAGACAGGATGAAAAGAACAAGAACCAGAAGGGTTTGCTTCCCCCGAAGGTATGTTAGGGTATTCAATCTGTATTTTCAAAAGATCTCGCAGTCTGAAAAGTTGCTAAGGAGGACACCACAGGACATTCATACACCATGAATCAGGGACAGTATAGCACAGCATAACAAGCCAGTGACACATTCTACAGGGAAAAAAACCCTCCAAAACAAAAGAACAAAACAGAAAAAAATGATGATACTAAGATAGAACTGCAGGACAGACAAAGCCTAGGTAGTTCCTGAGCTCAGAGCAGTAAACCACACTGTACGGATACAGATGTGGAGAGGTCAGTTTTCAAACAAGCAGGTCCATTTGCACGTACATAGGAAAAAAACCACTGAGTTTTGGTGTTCAAACTGGCTCCTCGTTCCCAACAATATTTCAGATTAGCTGCAGATGTGACTCACCAGTCAACGTGCCCAGAACAATCATGTTCCTGCTCCTTTTCTCCTGTCAAAGAATCACACTGCTCTTCTTTTCAGTCTAGTAAAAGTAGATTACCTTCCCACACTTGAGCTAATGCTCCAAGATCTGACTTTATTTTATAAAACTGAAGATATAATTGTAACAACTAATTTGCTAGGTGCAGCTGAAGTACTGGTACGTGACAGTTAAGCTGGTTCTCTCAGAAATACTGCAGAGAGAGAAAACGGATAAAGATACAGGAAAAATGCCCAAAGTTTTAGATAAAAATCTTCATAAATTTGCAAAATGTTCTCCTGTTTAAGGCAGCGACAAACATGTTTTAAAAGCTGCTTGTTAAGGAGGATAAAACAGTTCAGACACAACCTCTGCTTTAAGTTCCTCTACGTGCTTGAAGATCCTAAAGCACAATTCAATTGTTTTCATGTTTAGGACAGAGCTTCTCGAGTAACTTAGAGCCAAATTACAACTAGCATTTCCATTCACAACTGAACCACAGCCACAGGTCTTCCTTACCTGCTAATGCCAGCTGAAGCCCACTTATATCCACTGACTGGGCCATGTTCCCCACGTCCATCGAAGCAATCTGCCGAGGAGTCTTCTTGAAGAGTTCTCTTGGAGGGGCCAACATCAGCTGAGAAAGGAAGAATTTCTCTGGAGGAGTTATGGGAGGCAAGAAGCCTGTGGGGACACAATCAAAAAAAAAAACCAATCCCCAGTTTTTAAAGGCATTGATAGCTTCCACGGTTTTCACGCAGAGCAACAAAAACAAACTGCAAACTAACGTGTTATTTATGGCAGGAGCAGTGCAACTGAAGAGCCTTTGCAAGTACACACAAAACTGGTACCTGGTCCTTGGCTCCTAACGTGATGTACAATACAGCGTTACGCTGATCGGCATCATCCATCTCAACACGCAGCATCCAATGCCACGTCAGTCTCCGTCGTTTCTTTACATGCTTTTGGATTTAGACAACTAGCAAACTACCCAATGTGACCAGACACTGCAATTCATAAAAGTAATCTTTCTGATGAACTGATTTACCCACCCCTGTCGTGCTTGCATTTACTGAAGTGGGAAAAAGTGCTTCACTGACATGGATTTCCTTAAGAGGTTTGTTTCGCAGCTCTGCAGCTGTCACAAGCCTCCCTTTACCTCCAGACTTATTTTTTGGGGGGCTTTCTCCCTAAAATCCCCTGCCATGG